TTCTATTCTCTTTCCCTCCTTTCCCTTCTCTCTTCTCTCTCCTCTCCTCTCCTCTCCTCTCCTCTCCTCTCCTCACTTCTTCTCTTCTTTACAGTTTGGGTTCTTCCATCTTGTCATTTTAATCTTTAAACACAATCCCTGCCTTCTCAATCTCAGTACCTTAATACCACAAATACCCACCATGATTACACCAAAAGATGAATATGTCCATATTCTCTGTGCTCATAAAACCCCATGCACATATTCATAAGTTGATAAATGCATGGTGATTTCTTTTTTCATAGTAGTATCACCTTATATGTAGTTCTCCATTTCTTTCTTCTTCAACAGCAACGTGGAAATTCTCTGAATACGGACACAACTAAAATGTCTGTTTTCTGTGAGAGATTTTGTGCCCTATTTGACAATTTATTTATAAGCATTCACCTTATATATATATATGCCACAAACCAACTGTTCATATCTCATTATGCATTAGGGCTTTCATAGCTAAACAGAATATTTCCAAAAGTGAAAACATGATGAAAGGTATGTGTAATTTTATTTCCAATAGACATGGTAAATTATGTTCCGTTAATTATAAAATTCACTCTGTAAAAAAATGCTTTGTCATTTTTGCTAATAACTTTGAAGTTTTTGTCATTTTTAATGTCTTGCATACATGTATGTAGTGATACCTATTTCTTATTTTTCTTTTTGCTATTTATAGGTGAGTACCAGCATCCTAGCATATGTTTATTAATTATGAGGGTGTAGTTTTCCTTTAGTTGCTGATTATATAATTTTTCCACTTTGCCACTGGCTTGTCTTTTATTTATTAATTTCTTAAATCTGTTCATCTATTTCATATAGTAACTGCATCATGTAAATTTTAAGCTTCTCTAGCCTACTTTTGTCTGTTTATTTGGGGTATCATTTCCCATACTCTGATAAATGCAATTTCTATTACTAGTTGAAAAGATTCTCCTATTTGAGAATGCAAAAAGTAATCTCTTTTTATGACCTTGAAGTAAATATGAAGTAAATGTTATCACCCCTTTACATCAAATCTTTAATGCCTCTTATGTTTGTTTATGGTATACTAAGTATATACAATGTCATTAACTTGCAAATGGAAAGCTTTTTGTGGCAAACTCAGTTACTTCTCATAATTTGTTCTTCTTCTATATGTCTCTAATTTCCTGTTTCTGACACTGTCCTTCTGTATGATTGCTAAGATTGGGCACTACACTTTAATAAATCTTTTATTATTATAATCTCAAAGAGTTCTACAGTATCATAAACCATAATGCCTATTTATGGGATGAAAAAACAAATTATCCTAAAATATCATGAATTAACTAGTAATAAATATATTTACAGATAATTATGTTTTGAGCAGTGATACAAGCACACACAGAAGGACGGATGGAACATAGGAACAATGTGACCGATTTTGTGCTCTTGGGGCTCACTCAGAGCCTCAAGGGTCAGAAAATACTATTTGCTGTGTTTTTGCTGATCTACGTGGTGACAATGGCAGGCAACCTGCTCATCATTCTGACTGGTGCTCAACCCAGCCTTGGATGCCCTGATGTTCCTCTTTCTTGATAGTTTATCATTTATGGGTGCCATTTATTCTAATACAGTTACTCCAAATATGATGATAATCTTACTCCATGTGAATAAAACCATTTTCTTTAAAGCTTGTATGACACAGCTTTTGGTAGGTCCCTTATTTGGTGGTGCTGAGATTGTGTTCCTGGTCGCCATGGCCTATGACCACTACGTGGCCATCTGCAAACCCCTGCATTATTCGACCATAATGAACCAGCTGCTCTGTGTTCAGTTACTGGTGTTGGCCTGCCTTGGGGGCTTTGTGCATGCTCTGTCTCACATTCTTTTTGTTTACAGCCTTCCCTTCTGTGGCTCCAATGTCATCGATCACTTCATTTGTGACATGTACCCGTTATTAAAACTCGCCTGCACTGACACCTATGTTATTGGCCTCACAGTGGTGATCAGTGATGGTATCATCTCTGTGGTCATCTTCTCACTCTTGCTCATCTCTTACGGGGTCATTCTGCACACCCTGCAGAACCTGAGTCAGGAAGGGAGACGCAAGGCCTTATCCACCTGTGGCTCCCACATCACGGTGGTCGTCCTCTTCTTTGTTCCTTGCATTTTCATGTATGTGAGACCTCCCTCTACCCTGCCCATTGATAAACGCTTGATCGTGTTTTACACCATTATCACCCCTATGTTGAACCCCCTCATCTATACTCTGAGAAATGCAGAGATGAAAAGTGTCATGAATAAGCTCTGGACTAGGAAATAAGCATGTAGAAGAGAAATGTTTCATTTATGTTCCATGAAGTATTGCTTCCTCAGGGGAAATTAGGAGCGATTTTTTTCATTATTTTCAATTTTCCTATAGATTCAATAACTGTGCAGATGGAAAACATTTATTATGTGAATTCCTCCAACGTTCAGAATACACTTAAAGACTATTAGAATTTGTTAGAAAAATATATAATTTTAATATAAAATGGTGCTGTTGAGTTATAGATTTGTGTACTATAATTAATATTGTAATTTTTATTTTATGAAAGATTTATGTTTATTATGTGAAGTTATTTCTTTTCAGAATTAAAAGTTACCATGACAGATATTGAAATAATAAAATGAGAAAAAAATGTAGTTAGTTCTTTCTTTCACAAACTCAGAAAATATTGATATATTATATTCAACTTTGAACTACATATTTTTGCAATTGTAACATTAAATATATAATTATATTACTTAGCACATTATGGTTGAGTGGGAAAAATACTCTATTTTTAATATTAATCATAAAGAAATAAATATAAAAGAAGAAACTAAATGAATGTAAGAGATATGTAGAAAAATAATTTAAAGTTAGTTCTTATCTTCCTTAGGGGAAATGCAATGAGCTGCTCACGTAGGGCAAATTTGGTGTAATATTTTCATCAGAGATGATTTGGCAGAAATCCATCATGGCAGATTAGAGATAGCAGTGCACTGGCAGAATACTTGCCTGGATCTGCGGGACTTTGGGAGGAGGACGAGTAAAAAATTATTTCTTAGCACATGGCTTGTTTTTGATGTTTTTGTTATATGAAGTAATTTGACTATCATCAATATTTTTTGCATTTCTTTGGTTAAATCTATTCATATTTTCTGTTTTTAATATCATACTTGAAAGCACTTTCTGTATTTTCTTGTTATGAAAACATTTTTCCACAATTTTTCAGAATATAATTTTTTAGCATTTTTTCATTTAATTTTTATGTATAAATTTTTGATCCATCTGGAATTTGTTTTGATATGAGGAGTGTAGTTATGGATTACATTTCACATTTTTTCTACAAGAACATTTTCATAGGGCACAATTATTTTTTCCACTCTTTTGAAATTGTACTTTTATTGTACTCTAAAATCTTGCATGTGTTTGAATCCAATTCGGGATTCCATTCTTTTCTATAGATCTCAACGTTATTTAAAGTAAAATGTATAAAATTACAATTTTTATTTTAAAGAGAATAAAAAAACAGTAAAAACATACAGATGGTAGGAAATTAAGAGTGGTTATTGTATTGCATATTGATATCTTCAAAGTAGTTGATCGGATTACAAGATATAGACATGCAAAATTGATCAAACAATATAAGTAACTGTAGTGGCAGACAGGCTGATTTCCACAGAAGACCAAAGAACTCTATTTAGGGCAAACAGAGTGTGTTGAATTTAGGCCTACCACCATGCATTTCCCAACTATCAAATCAGGCAAATGCCAGCGCGCCTTTGTGTTGTTTCAACTTTAAATACATTTGGTTTCTATGGTTACACAATGGAATGTTACAGCCCAGGTGGCCACATGTTATTTCTCTTCTTCTGTGTGGCCCGGTCAGGTCCTGGTCATGAGCCCAACCATTATGATAGATACTTCTCCCACTCTGTTCTGTTTGTTCCCCTTTTTACAACTATACATTCTTTAATGGTTACAGTATCTAACTAGGGCTAGGGAAGGGATGAAACAACCCAGGCAGGGTCACAGATGATTATCTGGGCCCAGGTGTTCTTTACCTCGGGGGAACATTCCAGGGCAAAGTCAACGGCAAAGTTAACTTTTCATAACCCCTCCGGGATGTTTCACAGGACACATTTTGAGACTTGTACTGAAAACTATTCTGTCTTAAAAATGATATGCTAAGAGTCGCCATCCCCTACACAATAACCATTCCTTTAATGAACTAACAGAAATTAGTAGTACAATTATCTTAGCTATCTTTTGTACATGTGTGTCTGTATATTTTTCTCTTCCTTCTTTTCTCCTTTCTAAAATCCCAATTGTTTTTTTTCTTTTCAGCAGTTTCTTTCCCTTTCACAATATCTATTGTACATTTTGAATCTTACTTACTCTTTCAATTTTTTACACTAGAGAGACAACATAATGTCTAC